ATAAAGAAAAGTTGTTTAAAACCTGCTATAAACTCTGTGTGTATACAAAGATACAATAAGCCTAAAATGTATATAGAAATACAAATGAGCTGATGTATATAAAAATACAATAATTTCTGTGTATGAAAATACAATAACTGTTGTGGGAGTTTCTCTAACCGACAACCATCACATAAGAGCTATAGTGATGATACAGCAATCGACCTCACGCTGCTAGAGCAATCTATACCCGGCCAAAGGTATAAGACCTAAACTGCCTAATGGATCCACTAGTCTATCTGAAAAAGGATTCATCTAAAAAGTATGATCATTTTCTACCTATGGTGGCTAACATGGTTCTATGAGGGTTGTGGGTTCCTTGAACAGTCCCCCAACTCGGTGCTCGATACTACTCCCAAAATGTACTGGCTCTTATGTTTTTAAAACATATTTCTTCCTGCTGATTTGAGATAATTACTCAAAAACTTAGCTCAAAGGCTATCTTGAAAATCTCAGTTTCCTCTTTTGCTTTATTTAGAAAGCGATAACTCTTTTTTCTGAAAAACTAGCCCGAAGGCTCTTTGGAAATCTCAGTTTCCAAAGCTTGTTTAAATGTGAAAACATTTATTAACTTCTTTGGGAATACATAGTCCCCATATACTTCTTTGAAGAAAAGAACTTCAAACCTTAGCTTTACTTTTAAAACAACCTCTTTCTTTAGTTTGAGATAATTACTCAATGCTTAGCCCAAAGGCTCTTTTGGAAACGATGTTCCCTTTTCTTGCTCAAATGTGTAAAAACATTTATAAACTCTTAGGGAATACTTAGTTCCCTTATAACTTTTGAGAAATGAACTCAACTTTATACTCTTGACTTAACTTGAAACTCGATACTCTTTGCTTGACTTGAAACTCTATACTCTTTGCTTGACTGGAAACTTGAGCCTTAAAATGAATTTAAAACGTTCATTAAAGACTCTTGAAAAACTTTAGAGACTTGCTTGACTTACTTCTTAACTTCTAAGCTTGGCTCTAACTTCACTTGACTTTGATCCTAACTCGCCTTGAATTTGATTATGGATTCAAGGTATATGATCACACATTATGGATGAGTTCTTGACGTTAAGAGGTACTTTGGAGTGTTGGAAACAACTATGAAACATAGGTACAATACCTAAGAACATGCATGAGAAAGTGGGGAAGGAATGGGAAGACTTAGCGCTCTGAGAGGCGCGGAGCACTAGACCTCAAAGGTCAGAAGGATCTGGTTGGGGCTCTGCTAGGGGCGCCGCCCCAAGGGCTGGACCTCAGAGTCCCCTTTGAGCCGCGCTGGCTGGCGCGACGCCCCAACCCTTTTCCCCGAAAACTTGACTTTTCTCCTTCATTTTTCCAACTCTAAACCTCCTTTACCTTCAATGGTTTCAACCCCAAACTCTAAGGATCATAAAATCCCTCAACATGCAATAGATTCAACTCAAAAACTCCACCGGAAACATACACCAAACCAACAAGAACTTCAACACAACACAACTACAACTTCAACAAACATCACCACAAGATTTCAACAACCACAACTAAATCTTTTCTCAAAATTAAACGAGTTTGGCGTGTGGGGGAAAGAACCAACCCAACACTATGAACTCACATACCTAATAGGGATCACCCCCGACGATATCCACAACGATCTATGACGAAACCTTGCTTGACCTTCTCTTTTTCCTCTTCTTCTCCTCTTCTTCTCCTCTTCACTCTCAAACCCTTACTTTCACTCTTTAAAAATGAGAAAAACTGATCAAAATCAGTCTAACACACTCATATATATCCAAAAGAAAAGGCTAGGGAAAAGACCAAAATACCCTTATAAATTTCCAGACAGACTTCCCTGCCAACTGCCCAACTTCCGAAGGGCATAACTCACTCATACGAACTCGGAATCGAGCAAACTCGGCGGCGTTGGAAAGGCCATTCCATGAACTTTGCAAACATAACTGAAACTACACCTAACTCATCCTGAGATAGGAGTTATAACTGTTCAAAGTTGGCCAAAAACTCATTTTTTTCCCATACTTGGCTAAATTTCCAGATTTAATTATTTCCAAAAATGACTATTTCCAATTCTAAGCCTCTTCATAGTTATTTCACATTGCCGGATGTTACATCACCTCTGGCAGGTGTTGCCCTTTCTCTATCCCTGCCCCTACCTCTGCCTTTACCTATGTTGTGTCTTATCATTGCTTGCTTCGTGGCTTGCTCTGCCGCGGAGCTACTTTGTTGCACCATTACGTCTCGTGTCAACCATCTACAAATAGAAGAGTGAAAGATGTTAGATACCAATTTAGATCGTCACATATCAATTGGAATCAAGTTATAGCATAAAAGAAGAAAGAAGAGATAATTTTCCTAAGTCATGTAGCCTCTTGCAGAAAGTACATACGTCTCCATACCATTCTGTATGACTCTAGTAGACCCGTTTTGGTACATAAGATCAACAAATCTAGTGCTTTGATATCAACTTCGTCACAATTCAAATCGTCGTGAGTGACACCCACACTAAACCACCTAATGATGGAACCAACTACCAACCAAAACCTTAATCCAACAGATCATTTCTAAAATTAATTCTTCATATAAAACTAAGAAAACGATTTAAAACAACTAAAGAATTGAGTCCTCATAAACTCAATCTAATAATCGAAACATGTATGCAGAAATAAACATCTAAGAATTGAAATTCATAGTACTAAAACTCTAGATAATCAATATTGGGGATGCAACCCCGAAATTAAAAACATAAGTCTAATAGTATAAAGTGTCTATGCCCGAAAAAATGATCAAGAAGATGATAGAAAATTCCCTGAAAGAGTAGAGTACCCTTGAATTTGAAGACAAACATTCCTTAACTAAGGTTTCGGATCAGCCATTAGAAGATATCATGTACTCAACAAGAAAATAACATGTACAGTATAGGTACACATGCCACAACAATCACCAATATGTATAGACTACCAGTCACAATATCATGAAACAACAGATACATGGATGCATGTCACACATGATCAGAATTACAAATACCCTATCCTTTCATGGAACCACAAATACACAAATTGTTAGTATACCGGCGCGGTACCTGACCCAAGCAGAGACAGTGATCATATCAGGTGTAGTACTTAAGTCAATTGTTAGTATTTATATCAGGTATAATATTTGAGCCAATCATTGGTATACCTATACCGACATGATACTCGAGCTAATAAGTAATCACAAACTATCATGGACAATCACAAACACAATGAACAATAACACTTAAAACTACAAGTCACATAAATATGTTCATTGCATGATATTACCAACATGATGTCATTTCATATGCTTCCTTATGTTTTACCCTAACATGCATTGCACTAACGATACTATAAAATAGTAGACATGCATACATACATAAACCGAAAAATATACAACCATCACCTACCTTATATCAAGCCCCTTGGAAACTCTAAAGAACCCAAGCTTTCTCCTTTTAAAGTGTCTTGACTTGTTTTTGGTCTAAATAAATAAATAAACACAACAATCAATCATAAATGGCCTAACAATATCCAAATTATCACAAAATCCTAATTTTAGGCCAATTCATGATCATTCTATCCAAACTAGGGATTTTTCCACCATTAATTCAAGTCAAAGACCTCACTCAAGAGTAATATCCTAGATTTTAATGCCTAAGAATCAATTTACAAAACTGAAGAGTAACAAACTTATCTTTACCTACGAATTTCGTGCAAAAAACAAGTGCAAACAACCCTAAGCCGCCCCTCCCAATCCCAAGAACAATAATACATAAAATAGAAGGTTTTGAGACTCTTTCTACATAAAATCTTGACCTACCCCGCTATAGCAATGCTGACCCGCTATAGCAATGCTGACCCGCTATAGCGGCCTGAACCCTGCTATGGCACCTACTCATGCCCTCTATAACGGATGCCTCCTGCTATAGTAGACTATGCGAACTTCAAAGACTCGGAATTCCTTGAAAATACTATTTTTCACAACATACTTCCTTTCCTTGACGTCCCAAGCTATCCCCTTCATGCCGAATTTGATTACGGGAGTTTTACTCACCTGAATTCGATTGTGTGAAGCCCTGCAAATTCCTTAATGTCTTGGCTACTAAAAGATATAAACAAAGCCTAGAAATTTCACCAAAAATTATAAATCACTATATTCCGAAAATTTTTATGGCCCAATTTATTTCACCGTTGACCTACTCACAACGACTCGGTCAGGTCGTTACTGGATGACATTGAAAATTTTGTTGAAGCTTACGGACAATGGGACCGGGTAAGGTTTATACCAATTCCTAAGCTTAGTGCCTATTCATTTGGTATTGTAGCTAGCATTATTCACTCCTTTGGGTTTTAAGATAAGATAGGGTGACATATTACACCATCATACCCCTTATAAGCATTCAATAGCATGTGTTTCTTTCAACCTCATACATGATATGATTTTTCTTGCAAAACAAATCAAATCAAGTTATCAAAGAGTCGATTATATGTTAAAATGTCATACTATTTATCCCTAAATTCATAATCCACTATATCAATTTAATTTGTTTTTATGATTTAAGGAGACACAGATTAAAACGGTCAAAAAGTAATATTCTTGATGCTAAATCTCAAGGTTAGTATGATATAAAAAAAACTAATATTATAGACGGAATAATCAAATAAAGCAAGGTAGTGAAAGTAGTAGCTATTTGTGATGAAAATATTATATATCAGATATAATTGTGGGGAAGAAATACTTTTATAACATGACCCTAACTAACATATTTGCACTCTCCTTATTTGTACATCATACTTGCAAACAGAATACATTACATAGATTTAATTTCCAACAAAGCAAACAAAATACATGCATTACATAGATCTTGCCTTTACTTTTATTTTTGTAGAAGAAGGGAGTGAACCTAAACCAACATAGAAAACAGCATACATGCATTACATAGAAAAGTTTATGAAGTTGTCATGTTATAATAGGATGAATTAACAACATAGAAATGACGTCTTTTAAGCTATTATTGGAAAAACTATAAGCATCTTCATCTTTATATACGAATTCTGCTGTCCTTGTAAGATTGAGCATAACCATGAGCAAAACCCTTGGTATAACAACAATGTGCTTGAGGTAGTCTTCATTCAAATCTTTCCAATAATTTGCTATTATTTTTCTTATCTCCATATGTGCCTTTTCCTTTGTGACACCATATTCATTCATGTAACATTCGATACCAGAAGCTGCATCTCCTCTTTCCTGTTCTATCTTCATCCCACAATATAAATAAACAAACAAAGTTAATTACTTCATATTAAATGGTATGAGTTATACTTATGTAATAATATTTTTTATACTTACTAGCTAGTATATTGAGAGGAAAACCTTATATTTCTATATATTTACAAGAATTTCACTAAGAAAATTTAATTTAATCTCTATACCTCATGTGATACAAGATCATTGAGTAATCTTGCAATGATACCGGAAGCAACTAGTATTGGAGGTTCAGTTGCTATCCAATCAAATGCATCTTTAGTTGCTACATCTCCCATGCCTAACAAAAAAGTAGTTGAAAGCAAATGGTAAGTGCTAGATAGAGCTCCATTCTTCACATACTGCTCCATCTTTGGCACAATTTTCCCATGATACCATTTTGTCTCTTGGAAGTAAGCTTTCAATAGTTTTTTCATCTGAAACATCATAACAAAAATGAAGTTTTTTCCCAAAAACACATCGGGAGAAAGGATGCAATTTGAATAGCACTTTTTCACATTGAATGAATTGTGACAACTTCGATAAGGCACAGTAACACTACTTTTTGTTGGCTATAAATTTAGAGGACAAGTGTCATTTCAAACAATCAATTTTCTCCACATTTTCTTAAGTCTTTGTGTGATTTGTTCCGTCTTTAAGTTTGTGTTAAATAGTTGGCATTTGATGTACCACTACTCTAATGACAAGTATATCTATTTTATCTTGGGAGGAAGTAATCCAACAGTAATCACTACGTGAGTAATTGTTCACAATTTTATTACCTCATTTATGGAATAGTTGACAAAAATTAATGATTTATTTTCATTTGTCAACTCTTTCTCTATTTCATTGTAAACATCTAGAAGAGCATGGTAGGTAATCTTCATATATGGTGGTAATTGTTCTGAAGCATCAATATTCCACCTACATAAATGAAATACATCAATAATTATTTCTCAAGTCTCACTTCTTCATTTAAGCTTGTATCATCGTCGAAGAAAATAAAATAAAAGTGATAAATAGTTATCAATATCATCAAAAAAATTACCTTTCAATTGCATTTGTGAGGAGAGTAAGCTCATTTAGTGTCCCATAGGTATCATAAGTATCATCCATAATTGAACAAAAGGATAAAACTTTTGTTAATATTTTCCTGGAAACACTATATTGAGGCTCAAAATATATGCCTAAACACCAAAAATATAACTCAACCATTCTGTCTCTTGCATAAGGTACAACCTTCACAAGTTCCAATTCCTTCCACCACCTAAAATGTCAAATTCGACCAACAAATTGTGTGTTGATTTAGTAGACATTTGGATAATATTTGGTGGAAATTGATGTAATGAAGTATATATTTGGAAGTAAAAATTGTGTTTCCAAATAAATTTCACTTGAAAACTAAAGTTCAATAATTTAAGTTAATGTGTCACTGTTAAAAAAATACAATTTTTTCATTGAAAAATATTCAATAGATATTTTGATTGAATCAATAAAAAAAGAAAAAAAATAGTAGTGTTCTCATACGGAAAAATTAAGAATGCATTTTTTCAGTGAGCTGATTAAGTGGGGAAAAAAATCATATTTTATAGCATAAATTTTTCGTGAATTTTTAGTGAGAAAACCCTCTATTTTCAGTAGAGTGAATAATAGGTGAATGAGTAGGTTGTCAATTACCTTGTGATATCACATAACTCCTTTTTATGCAACATTTGCAAGATGTTGAAGTCCAATTTGGCAAAGTTTAGTAACACTTTATTGCATGATTTATCTTCTTTGTAAATTGATATGTATTTCCATGCTTCTAATCTCACTATACCATCTCTGATTGAAAACTTAAATGCACTACTTACTTGTTGTGCAAGAGAATTATTCAAATTAGGCAAAATTAGTTTCAATTGGGTGGTTGTGAAATTCATTGCTTCATCCAGAATTTGTTCATCATGTACTCTAAATTGTGCTGCCTCATACAAGCTCAACATTCCTTGCACATCCCTAACCAATGCTTCCTTGTAGCTTCCTTGTTCATCAGTAAACTTCCTAAAAGCATCTGATTCAACATTTTAAATAGGCTAAGCTAATCGAAAACGTTATTTGGACTGAGATGGATTAAGTCAAGATGGGCTAAATAATGAATCATATCTCAATCGACTCAACTCTTACCATGTTTTTTTTTGTGTTTGTTTTCTTATAAATTATTTAAATATAATATATATATATATATATATATATATATATATATATATATATATTATAACTATATACTATATATACCATATAAAAAAAGTATTTTAAATATTTTTCATGAGCTAATTCAATTAAATTAAAATATGATGCAGGATACTTACCACAGGAGACATAGTAACCTTGTACCCTAAGTAATCGAAAACTTAGAGCAACAACATGAAGGTTATCGGCATTATCAACTTCACCAATCCATTCTTCATAACCTTCAGAGAGATAACTCAATGATTCTTGGATCTCATGTTCAAAATGATAATCTACTCCAAGACGTTGGATTGTGTTGATCACTTCAAGCTTTTGTATAGATTTTGAAGGAGATATCACTAGCATCTTTCTCACTTCTTCTTTTAGGTTTGCATGTTGCTTCTCTTCCTGCTCATTGGCTCCCTACACGATCGAGTACATCTCGGAATATGTTACTTTCTTCGTTTCAAAACAGGTGTTAATTATAAGTAATGATTTACAAGTTATCAAATTATCATAATATAGGAGCGCAAGACTACATACGAATTATGATCTTGAGTAGCTGTAAACTATATATAGGATCGTCACTTAATTATTTAAATACTTAATTTTTCTAAAACATAACAATTAATAAATATGCAAAATTTCAACATTATTGTGTGATTCTCTTGGGTTTCTGTCTCATGAACCATATAATTTTTATAATGTATCGACGTACCATGTCTAATGTTCTTGAGTTTTGACTGTTGTTATTAAAATATTTTCAAATTAAATTTTAAAAATTACTTAATTATGCAGTTTATATTTATTTGAACATAATAATTAATAGAATTTCTTTTTTAGAAGTCATATATATCAATAACAAATATAAATAATGATTCTCAAATTATCAAATGACGTAACATAGGAGTGTGTGGAAGACCACAACATAATCATGTGACTCTCTTGGATTGTTGTTCGACACTTATGAACTATATCATTTTTGTGATTATCTATAATGTGTTAGATATCTACTGTATCTGATGTGTTTTGAGGTTTGAATGTCGTTATTAAAATATTTTCAAACTATATTTAGAAAAGTTATTTAAACATGCAAACTTTTAGATCTAAAACTTTTAATATTTTCAATTCTTTCCTTTATTTATTTTTCTTATCATGAACATATAATTAAAGTGTACAATTTTTTATAAGGTAAAATTTTAATGATATTGAAGTTTTAAATATTGCTCCCTTCGTTTAAAAAAAGAGTGGTCTAGTTTGACTTGATACGGAGTTTAAAAAAATAAAGAAGACTTTTGAATCTTGTGGTCCTAAATTAAAGTTATGTCAAATGTACAAAATGATCATTTAATCTTGTGTCCTTAAACATGCCACGTGGAAAACTGAAATTAAAATGTTAACAAAATATGAAAGAGGTCATTCTTTTTTAAACAGATTAAAAAGAAAAGTAAGTCATTCTTTTTTAAACAGAGGGAGTAGTAATTTTAATATAGGCCAACTAAGAAAATATTTACGCAAAATTTTCAAATAGCATATTTACTTTCTCGTCCTATTTCTAAAGATAAATAGAAAATGTTTAAAATGAAAAAAAAACCATTTAACTTATCACTTGAAAAATATATAATAAATTAAATCACGTAACTAAAATCATAACAATAATAATTTAACTTTTATATTGGAAATTTCAATAATTGCTTATTATATGTAATGCTTGAGTAAGAATCATATTTTAGAAGAAAAAATAGAATAATTTTAAATATTGAAAATTTTTATTATTAATACCTATATCTACCTATTTATCTATATAAATAGCAGAAGCAAAATAATATGATGATGCACATCATAAAATTCTAAAATAAAGATTTAAAAATTTAGGGATTAACAATCCAGTTAAAACGCATAATTGAGTAAATACAATACTTGAATATATTATGATAAATTCAAACAATATTTCGAGCAGTATTATTTTGGCCATATGGGAATATAATTAAGTAATTTTATACTATGACCATATGAGTTCGACCATTCTTTTTCGAGCAATTCCATACATTAATATTTATGGGAATCATGGTAATTTGTCCATTCCCATGGATTGAAAAACTAGATATAACGGGTTCGTGCTTGTTATTTCATCTGTCTGAATTTTATGCATATAAAATTAGAAAAGTCAATTAAATTTTTGTCTGATTTTGAAATATTTTAAATTGTTAAATAATGTAATGTATAATATATTTAATGTAATTTTTAAATAATATATGTAGCTCTGTCTATCTCAATTTATGTGACACCTGTGAATATTTGATAGTTAACCAAAGTTTTAATATATTTTACAAAAATAGTTTAAGTTGTTAATTATTATGATTTATAGAGCATTTTATGTAATTTCAACTAATATATAGTATCTATCTGTCCCGATTTATATTGCATTAGTGAAATTTCGAGAGTCAGCCAAATTTTCAATCAAAATTTTAAGTTATTAATTATTTAGATTTATTGTACTCCCTCTATTCCATATTAATTGAATTTTTAGGGCTTATTTCATTGTTCAAAATACTCCCTCGTTACATTTTATATGTTACTATTTATATTTCACGTTCCTTAAGAAACTATGTAAGCTTACCTTTGTGTCCTTATTTAGTATTCTCTTGAAGTCAAGTTTTCAATAAATGAACATAAATTAATTTATTTTGATTAATTAAATCGACCAATGAACATGAATTAATCATTTAGTTTTTCTATGTTGGTCAAGTTCATACATCCAAGGTCAATAATTCTCAAGGGTTAAATAGGAAGAATAGTGTCATTTATGCATTGATTTTGTTAAATGAAAAATATTAAGAACCATTTATTTTTAGCAATGATGACATATAAATAGGAATGGAGGGAGTAATTGAATTTTTCAAAGTTCAAGATGGATGTTTGAATTTATTTTTTTTCACTTTTGCCCTTTCCTTTAATGAAGGTTTATATTTTCTAGGGATGTGCATCGGTCGGTTCGGTTCGATTTATTGATTTTCAATTTTTAAATATGCTAAATCAATAAGATATTTTTATCAGTTTTCTATATGTCGGTTTTTGATTCTTAAGGGTTCAGTTTTTAGTTTAACCAGTAAGAAAATGTCTCATAAAACAAATATATGATTTATTTAATAACTTAGCGCAACGAAATAATAATGTAACTTTGTGCTCATAAAATAGAAATAGTAGTAAATAACATTAAAAGAACTATACATGTGCAACACAAATAAAAGAGTTGTGACAACAATGTGAATTGAAGGGTACAGAACAAAGGTAGTAGCCACTATGGTACTGATATTAATATTTAATATTTATGTAGGGGTAAAGTAGAAAATCATTACCGTCTTAATGGGTTATTAGTTTAAGCAATAACCCAATATTAAAAATCAAAATCAAATCTATAATTCGATAATTTTTTTTTTACAAAACTATTAAAAATCTGTTAACCCAACAACCCAATCACTATAATCAATAGCGTTTTTATTGGTTCGATTTTGCACACCCTTAATATTTTCTAGGAGATAAATTAACTATTTACAAAGTTATATTTACAATTTCATATAGGATATCAGTGAAAATTATGATTTAAATTATGCTTTTAAATATTTTTCTTAATAAGTGTGTATTATCTCACAAAATAAGTTAATATAAAATAGAGGGAGTACAATTTATTATAAGGCGAAATATTCTGATAGACCCTTGTACTTGTATGAGTTTGTATTTTGGATCCTTTTACTTAACCATTTGTCAACTAAACCCATTGAAATTTAGTATTTTAAACTCGTCTTTTGATTTGTCATCCTATGTGGCATTTTTTGTCCAGAGTGTATATTATACGGCTTAAAAAAAGATAACAAATGTTAATTTTTTACCTAATTAAAGAGTCATCTTCTCCCCCATTTATTCTTTTTAGGGCTTTTCTACTCTTCAAATTTTTCTTTCCAAATCTTTTACCCATTATTTTTTCTGTTGCTACCTTTCACGCTCATCTTTTTTGTGCAAACTCCTCCTTTTATCACGTTAGAAAAGAGCTTCCACAAACGCTAAATCCTCTTACTATTCCACAAAAAAGGTAAGTAGAAGAAGAAAAAGAAGAAGGAGGAGGAGGAAGAAGAGTTAATATTGGGGGGGTTATATTGAGGGACATATATTGGGGGGTTTAATTTAACTTTAAATTGGTGTCAAATAATTTTACAGAGAAGAGTTAATATTGGGGGTTTAGTTTAATTTTAAATTGGTCTCGAATAATTTTGCAAAGAAGGGATCAAGCGAAGAAGAATGTGAAATGACGTGGCAATTAATAGAGGAGAAAAGTTAGAATTGGTCTCATTTAATTTTGGGGGCAGGGAAGGGGGAATGGTATGTGAGGCCTTTATACTTGGCTCCGTTCGTATATTTTATTTTTGTACTTACAATTTTGCCAATGGGATCCTTGAACTCGCTGCAACACAACATATTAAACATCTCCAACCATTGACTGAACATATGTGACATCAATATTGTTGGCTTGGAATGATGCATGATTCCACGCATTTTAAAGCAAGTGTGTATAAAATTTATATGAAAGGAAATTAAAAAAAATTGAAAAATAAATAAATGAAAACACCCAAAAAAAAAGAAGAAGAAGGGGAAGTCATCTTCTTCAAAGCAGCCTAGCACTGCTTCCCTTCCCCCCCCCCCCCTCGCCCCCGCCCCATCAAATTTCTTAAACTCATTACACTTCTTTCTTTGGATTCACCCACCATTTCCCTTCTTCTTCATCTTAACACCCCCGCACATTGTTCCACCCCTAAATATTTTCTCAAAATTCATTCTTTTTTCTGCAAATCAATGTCCCTCCTAGTTCTTTTCGTTTTGCCATATTTCTTCGTTTAAAATCTCGATTTCGTGTGTATTATTTGGTGATAGTGGATATTGAATAATGAAAAACTTCATTGATATGCTTGATGAAGCTTCAAGAATAACAAATGAGTTTTGTGAATTTATGAAATAAATTTAAAATTGTATAAAGATTTGTTGAGTTTGTGTTTGTGAACCAGTAGTGTAAAATTCAGGTCAAATGGGTAAAAATTCCACCCATTTGACATGAATTTGGTGCTCAATTTGAGAGCAAAAATGGAGAAAATAATTTTCAAAATTTCTAGGGTGCGCTTTTTATTTTTATTTTATTTGTTTCATATTTAATTTCTTATATGTCATTAAAAATGATGTGGAATCCTATGTGTAAATGAGTGTACCACACGCACACACATAGGATGAGGAAATGGTTTAAAATATTGTGTTTCAGTGAGTTAAATGAATTAGTTGACAAAATCATAAGTATAAGGATCCAACTTACAAACAGAGCCAAGTATAAGGGCCTACCAGGTCATTCGGCCTTTTATTTTCTACCTGAAATTTGAGGT